GATTGTTGACCAATGTTTACGTATCGCACCAGGAACACGTGGAACGCTCTGAAGGACTTCATTAAAGGACTTCGTGAACATATCTGACCATCGCGTCGGCGGTCTTCCTCGTTCGCGTTTGACGTCCAGTGGTATCCAATCTGTTACAGCTCTCGTCCACCGGTTGTCGTCGAAACGCATTACGTGCCCGGCCCATCTTATCTTGTTCTGCTTGGCGTACGCGGCAGCGTCCCTGATCTTCGATCGTTGACGTAGGGTAGAACTTCGTAATCCTTGCCTCACTTGCGTGAGTCGATTCACTCCTAGCATCACTCTCTCAACAGCTCGTTCGATGACGCTAACCGCGTGTTCATCCTGCTTTCTCATTGTCCATGTTTCTGAAGCGTACGTCAAAGCAGGAAGAACCGTCGAGTTGAAAAGGTGGGCGCGGAGCCGGATGTTCTTGGTCTTCTTCACTACGTCCTCAATTGTCTTATATGCTCCCCATGCTGCACGTTTCCTCCTGCTCAGTTCCGGAGCTAGATCGTTCATCATATTGAGTTCACGACCTAGGTAGGTGTAGCTTGAGCATTCGGTGATGTTCGTCCCGTTGAGCATGAAAGGAGCATCAGGCACTCTTCCGTTCCTCATGAACATCGTCTTCGTTAGATTCAGCCGTAGACCGATCTTTCCACACACTTCGTCAAACTGGACCAGCATTTGTTCCGCCTGCGTGATGCTTGGTGTTATCAATACGATGTCATCAGCAAAGCGAAGGTGGTGTAGCTGCCGGCCGTCGACTTTCACTCCCATGTTGTCCCATTCCAACTTACGCATGACGTTCTCCAGAGCGGCACTGAATAGTTTCGGCGATATAGTATCGCCTTGTCGCACGCCTCTCTTCACGTCAATGATGATGTCCTTGTAGAATTGTGTTATGGTGGTTGTGAAGTCATTATACAGCTCACGAATTATCTTGATGTAATGAGTCGGAATACCTTGATTGCTCAAGGCATCGATGACGGCTTCAGTCTCAACCGAGTCAAAGGCCTTCTTCAAGTCGATGAAGGTGAGACAGAGCGGCATCTTATACTCTCGTGACACTTCAATGAGCCTTGACACCGTGTGTATGTGGTCGATCGTGCTGAATCCTCTTCGAAACCCAGCTTGCTCGCATGGTTGTCCTTCGTCCAACTCTCTTCCGATCCTGTTGAGAATGACTCGCGTAAAGAGTTTGTAGACTACAGACAACAAGCAGTTAGGGCGATAATTGCCGATGTCGCAGGGATCTCCCTTCTTGTACAGCAACAAGGTTCTGCTGGTCTTCCATTGCCTTGGAACCTTGCCTTCCGTCAGGTACCGCGTGAAGAGCCTTGCCAAAGTCTTGATGAGAACTGGCGAAAGATTCTTCAGATGTTCTGGCTTAATCCTGTCGGGACCGGGTGCTGTACGGTTTTTCATCGACATGATAGCATGACGAATCTCGGAAGGAAGAACAGACGGTGCGACATACTCGTCCTCCTTGAGATGGCATGATGGAAGGTGGACGTGGCTCGCAAAAAGATCCGAGTAGAAGTCGTGGATGACCTTCTCCATTGATCTTCGGGAAGCAGTTATGGTTCCGTCAGGACGACGAAGTGCGGTCATCTTTGTCTTGAAGTTGACGAAACTTCGGCGGGCGTTGCGTATACTTCTTCCAGCCTCCGCGGCGTCAACCATCACTGCTACTATTCTCTCCTTAAGGTCTTCTTTTATCGCTTCTCTGCATCGCTTCGCAAGCTCGGACGTCAGTCGGTAGTTGCCTGTGGCTCGTGCGCGTCCACGTTGGCGTATCAGCTCCAAAGTCCCCGTGGTGAGACGCCTTCTCGTACTTCTTAGACTCTGAGCTTCCTTGGCACAACCGTGGAGATGTTGTACAAACCGTTCGTATTCTTCGTCGAGAAGTCGTTGTCCATCACGGTATCTCGCCATGAGCCGGATATCGAAGAAAACAGATCCCAGTTGGTGGTATTCATGGGACGATGTTTCCTGAACTTGACGGCTCTCTCTCCATTCCGCGGAAAGTAGAATTTGGCGCGCAGGAGACGATGGTCTGATCCCGTGTAGAACTTCGGAACAACAGCGACGTCCGTCAGGCAGTACCTTCTGTTGACGATGATGTGGTCAATCTCGTTATGGTACTCTCCACCGGGCGATTCCCAGGTCCAGCGTAGGGAAGAGGGCTTTTGGAACTGTGAGTCTCCATGGATAGTCCTCGTCGTCATGATACACTCGGACAGTCTCTCCCCTTGTTCGTTCCACTGCAAACCATGGGTTCCAATGTGAAGTTCCTCAGTCGACCTTCTAGTTCCGATCTTCGCGTTGAAATCACCGACGATGATCTTGTAGAAGGTATGATCTTCTCTGTAGAACTTCTCCAAGTCCATATAAAATTCCTCGAGTTCGTCCTCGTCGTAGCTGGATGTTGGGGCGTACGCAATGAAGACGGTCAAGGCAGGGATTGATCCACATCTTGATATTCGCAAACGTCCGATTCGAGTTGTAAGTTGTTCGAACGAATCGATGTTCATGGCCAAACTCGTGTTGACAAGGACTCCCACTCCACCTACTCCTCGACTGTCGCATGTTCCTAGAAACAGTTCTTCTCCAGTCTCAAATGTGGCGTTCAGCGGGTGGTGCCTCCTTGTCTCGGTCAGTCCGATGACGTCGCACTTAATCTTCCTTGCTTGCATCATGAGATCTTCGATAGATGCGTCCGATGCCAGCGTCCTCGCGTTGTAAGTACAGATCGTCATCATAGTCCGTCTCGTTTTCGGCAGCCTAGATCGCCTTGCAAACCTTGTCCCCACTGGCGCTGCCTTACCAGTGGCTCTTCCAAGATTAAAGGAGCTTTCCATATTATCACTGTGTCGAACAAGAATTTACTCGCAGGGATAGCTTGTTGGGCTCAAAACCCCTGCGAGGGACGATCGGAGCTTATTTGTTGGAGGCGACTCCGAACTCGCCTCCCCACACACCTACCCGGGAAATTAGGGCGCAAGCTTTTAGTGGAGGCAGGGAGTCCGTCCCCCGGCTCCGCTTGCTTATCAGAGCAGGCGCGGGGTCGCTTTTGGTCGGCGATTATCCCCCTATCCGCCACCTGGGGACGCCCCACGTAGCCTCGCGACTAACCGGCTGTAATCCCTTTATGAGGGAGATCCGTGGATGGTGGGTATATCGCAGACAAAGACAAACCATAGACTTCAGCTTAAACTATTCGCAGAATGAGCTGTTTCTGATCAAGTGTACATGCACGAGCGGGGAGTACAAGGGACTGATGTGACCACGACAAAACATTAGATTTTATTAATTTTTGCATTGTTCACCTCAGGAAGGTCAAATCTTACATATATAGGTTTTGTAGCATGCCGATTACGAGAATGATAGTCCCCATTTTAGTACCGCTTCTTCCATCAGTTTCTTTTTTTTTTTACAAAAATTTTATCTTACTGTTGTACTGCTGTCGTAGCCCCACTATGAGATGGTAAGCGGACACTGTAATCGTGATCAGCACATGAAATAAACCCAAAACACAATTTTTCATAAAATTTTATTATGTTGGGGTGGTGCAGAATGAGCATTGTATCAAACCATATTTTGACAAGCAGCACCTTCTATAACCCCTCTGAGGAAATTCTCGGAGCACATTTCAAATTTTTTTTCCCAAAAAGACGACCATTTCGGTCAATACGACCCATGGGTGGGTCGTTAGTTTGACAAAGCTAAAAGGGCTCTGGGAAACGGTCGTAGTTGGAAAATCAGCCTTGTCGTAAATGTCTTAAAGAACGATTCTGTTTCCACCAAATGAATAAACGTCGAATCGCAACTACCCGTTGCAGAACCAACGGGACCAACGGTCTTTTCCCAGCGTTAAAAGCCATGAATACTCAATGCAATTTCTTCTATATCAAAGCGCTGAGAATAAATAGCTTCCAGGCCTTGCACTTTCACATTTCTGCTTGTTGTTGTTCTCAATCATGTTATAGGGCTCTGCGTGATCGTGACGGTCGATGAGTTTGCGGCCCTCGCGCATTCAACTTTCTTAGTTTACTTTATCTTGTTAAATACTCCTTTGCTATCAGAGCTCAGCTTTCAAAAGGAGTGTGCCCAGGCAAATTGGGGCGCATGCTTTTCTTGAGTGGGATTTGGTGAGGGGGTCCTGACTAAGGCAATGCCCGAATTGCAGAGCAAATATTTCATTTTCGTTTGAGCTTCTAACTCTTGCGTCGTGACCGTAACCGCGTGTGATTAGGGACGGGTCCCAGCGCGAACGCAATGCTGCGGAGGAGACTCAGTAGCGGGTTACGGTCATGACGCAGGTTGAGGGTGGGGATGGATTCCTCAGACAGGAATGGATGATTTGGGCTGCTGCTTTGGCAGTTCTTTAGTTAGGAGTCCCTTGTTTTCACGAAAAACCTATGTGTCCAAATCTGCCTGGACGCCTTTGATGACCTGAAGGGATTCTGAAAAGTACAGTGCTGTTCAGCTGGTTCGACGTCTTGTGGCATTCTGCGTGTGCAATGGCCGCAAATCACCAACCTTCACAGTCTGGCAAAACCCTATCATATCAGCGATATTGCTCCGTTCAAAAGCACAGCATCCTCATTATCCCCAGAAAGCCGAGACGACGTATTCTTTGCGGTTCGTTAAATAATGACGTTGCTGGTCATTGTGAGGGTAACAATGGTTTTTGTAGAGCAATATTTTAACTCTAAGATGCCGCAATGTAAAGTTTACCAAAGGGTCATAAACTCCCATTGCTTTGTTGTGTCCCTATAGTTATTTCTTACCTACAATGTTCACGAAATTAAAGAATTACCTATGTTTATGTTTATTTAACTGGTTTGGCGGCTGGAAAACGTGGCTTTGAGATCTAATTCAGGCCGCTCGCGCCCGCTAAGCAGTCTATGTCTCTCTCGCGCGCGTGCTTTCTGATTATAATCTAAACTACTTAACTAGATCACGAAGCCCCGCCTTCCAGCCGTCAATCCGGTTGAATCAAAGGGCGCCAAAACTATCTTAATTCAGAACCTAACACTCAACATGCGATTGTATCTCTTGATATGTCTCGCTGCAGCTCTAATAGCCGGAGTCATTTCTAAAAAGGGTAACAAGAATAACGCCGTAGCCGGAGTTAATCCTAAAAAGGGTAACAGGAAGAGCACCATAGCAGGAGTCAGTTTTAAAAAGGGTAAGAAGAAGAGGACCACCAAGGCTGTGGAAGAAGATGGTGATTGGAATGTGAGTTTTGCGATTCGTTTGTCGGTCTCATAGTTCAGAGAATTAGAATTCAATTTTTTAAACATTTTATTTTGAATTTTCTCCAACAGCCCTAAAGCCTCTAGAGATTCACACAGTAAGTGATTTTTTTTTGCTTAAATGGTCTCGTACGAAAGCAAACATTTCTGCGCAATGACTTTATTGTAAAAAAATTTGCATGGAACTTTGGGTGGAAAGACCGAAGTTAGTAAAAAAGAGCTCGTAATGAAGGAGATATTGGTTATGATTTGAGGAAATGGGGACCCAGAAAGGAGAGACTTATAAAAGTGAATCGACGAAAAGAAATCTTAAACTCATTAGGCCCAGCCATTACGTAATTCTCACATTTTCAGAAGTATGAGACACATCCAGACAAGCAGCTTGGACCAACGAATGTCAATCCAAATATGGGAGCTGAGATCGTAATTCCGCGAAATGGAAAATGAAAATCTTAGTGTAGTTGAATGGCTACAATAAACTTCTTCAATGAGGTGGTTTCTCATTCAATTTCCCAAGCAAATTCCTATCCAAATCACATCTGTCGTGATCATCTTTGTTATCAGTTCTACAAATTTTCAATCACTACACAATAATTAGCAGAAATAGCGAGACAAGAATGAACTGCCATTACCAAAGCACATACTCTTTGCATTACTAAACATTTGAGTCATCTATAACCTTTGATTCAATTGGCTTGGCGGGTGGAAGGCTGGGCTTTGTGACTTAATTGAGGCCGCTAGCGCCCTCGACGCTGTCTGCGTCTCTCGCGCGCGCATGCTTTCTGTTCATTACCTGGCTCTAATTAGGTCACGAAGCCCGCCTTTAAGCCGTCAAGCCAGTTGAATAAAAAGGTACTTTTGCCACAATGCACAGAGGAGCATGGCACATTTGTTGGAATGTATGTTACTAAATTGTGCTGATCATATTACCAAAAACTAGCCTCTCAATGCTGCTGTCAAATTTGTTCGCACTACTTTTTAACTTCTCGCAGTGCGACATAGTAATTTTACGAATTTTTACTTGTGTGAGGCGCGTAAAGTGCGTAAAATTGCTTTATGTTTAGCACTACATAAATCGCTGCTAGATCCTTTGCTTACAATGAAGTATGTTTCCTCACCAAAGACTGAGACAAGTATCAGATTGGCAACTACATGACCTTTGATTCAACTGGCTTGGCGGCTGAAAGGCGGGGTTTTGTGACCTAGTCAAGGCCGCTCGCAACCGTTACTCAGCCTGCGTCTCTCTTGCGCAGTGCTCTCTGATCATCAGGTCACAAAGCTCCGCCTTCCAACCGCAAAGCCAGTTGAATGAAAGGGTAAGCTATACACCATTGAATAAACAAATAGACGAGTAACTTATTCAGCAGACAATGTAAAGGAATTATATCCTGTTGTTCTCGATGACTTCTTTGTTTTAAACGGCTAACGTAGGTATGCGACAAATAGAAAGCAAGTTTTGCTAGTATTTTTCTAAAGAATTGGAGATGCTGATGTACAATACCGCTCACAGAATGTGCAAAATTTCCGTAAATGTCGCAGAATTCCGAGAATTCCGCGAAGGTTCGCGAAATTCCGGGAATTTCGCGACAATCCCGGAATTTCGCGACATTCCCGAAATCTCGCGAAATTCATGTAAATCACGCAAATTACGCAGGGCCATAACTTCGTTCCGAATGAGTATATTCAAAATCCGAAAACAGCATTGTATTCAGCTCGTCAAGGCAACAGCAGACAATGTAAAGGAATTATATCCTGTTGTTCTCGATAACTTCTTTGATTCAGACCGTTAACGTAGGGATGCGACAGATAAAAAGTAAGTTTTGCTAGCATTTTTCTAGAGAATTGGAGATGCTGATATAAATGTAGGTAGGAATATTTCGTAAATTTAGAGCAGAATTGAAGCTTCCAATATATGCCTAAATAAAAAGCAAAGAGTCTCAGTTCAGTTATTCCATTTGTAAAATACAATCTCAAAAGCTGCAATTTATATTTTACCCAGATAGTGATGGAGCGAGAGAATGGCGCCCCACCCCTCGAAATTGTATTACAAAATGTTCGAAAGGTGTCTACAAACAATAAAGCGCAGACTCGTTTTTTTGTAGATGAACAAAAGAGTTTTCTAAAGAAAGACTTACGCCACACTTGTTTATTCGAAAAAGACTTCTCTCGCTCCCCTCTCTCCCTCGAAATGCCACGTACTGCCTCAGCCACTTCCTATTTTCAGTACAGTAGGAGAATTTCTAAATTTCCCTAAAATTTTTGTAGGAAATCATGGTGTTGTTTTTGTACAGAATGACTACCGTAACCTCGCTGTATGATGCCAAAAACTGAAACAGATTATATGTTAATAACCATTGCGTCACCTCCGCTTGGCGGAGGTTCGTACTGGCTCTCCTATCCGTATGCCATTATCATATAATGATGACTTTGAAACCTACTACGCGATGCTGAACATCACAAATGAACGTAAACAACTGTTCATTCTTAGGACATCTCCACGTAAGATCGGTAATTTTGAAAAGAGAAACTTTTTCGCAAAGGAATAAATGCGAATTTCCATGGATTACTAAATTTGTTCTGGCTTGGTAATCGTCATAAGGATATTAGTCACTATGGGCTTCATTTTCGTGCAAAAATCTTTCTAAATTTCAAGGTAAAACCTTGCCAAATGGACTCTCTACGCGATCATCACTTTTTGGCGCTGTTTTCGCAGAAAAACAAACTTTTTGAGCAGTTTTTGGGCTAGAATTCATGGGGCGCAGAATTACTCGTCAGGCAAATCATAATTTTGCAATGTCGAATTAGGGACCTAGTTTTGCGTGCCAAAAGGAGAGTGGATCCGTTTGACGCGCCAATTTTGAAGGACCCGTTTATCGAACCGGCTCGTCTTTGTGCATGGTGGACTTACATGCTGGTGCGGTATGTTATGCAAGATTGTAGCTCGATAGCTTGGCTGCAGCTCCTTCTATGAATTTCGTGACAGACAGACATATATTAGGTTGTCCCGAAAATTTTGTCCGTTTTCTCAACCTATCATAAAAACGCGTGGAACGAAGATAGGAATCGCTCTAAGCACTATCCGACGCATCTTTTCCTTCTCTTTCTAACTGTCATGCATCCATGCCGATTAATCTTTTGTTCACTGACAAGGGAAGTGTCAGAAGTCGCAGTGGCCTTTTGACATGGGATGGGTACCACCTTAAGCAGCTTGAAATGCTGATTCCAAAACAAACTCTCTTAGCTGCAGAACTGATCTGGGTCGCGAGTTATGGGCATTTTAAACATTAAATTTTACATTGCTGGAAGTACTCTGTGATCACGGAAACCTTTCAAATGCTTGTTTAAGCATCACAGCATGACTCTGATGAAGGCATAGAATTACGTTAGACATTGATGGACTGTTTCATCTATGTTTGAGCCCAAAAAATGTTCGCTTTGATTTTTGGCTATTCTCAGTGTTGTAAATTTCCCGCAAATTAAATTCAATAACTCTCGTCCTAGATTAGTTCTGCAGCTAAGAAAGGCTGTTTTGGAATCAGCATTTCAAGCTGCTCCAGATGATACCCATTTCATGTCAAAAGGCCACTGCGAGTTCTGACACTTCCCTTGTGAGATACAAGCCAAAATTTCGAACCCATGGTTTTTACTATGTCCAATTTTGACAATTTTTCGCAATCTTCATTTTCCAACTTTTGGAAGACCTTTGTCATTTGCACAATTTTATAACCCATATAAGTAACTTCCAAAAATTTGGCGACCCGTTCTCGGGGGGGGGGGGGGGCGCGCAGTACTCTGCGTTGATACCACTGCTT